GGACTTTACAGAGGACAAGAGTTCTGAGTTTAGGTCCACTTTAATAGTTCACAGAAACGTGCTTTCCAGCTTACCTGAGAGGTCACTACCTTTCACACTTCCTTCCACAGATACATCTTTGGAGATAAACTTTTGTTTTTCCAGCACGAGAGACCTAATGTTAGAGAAGTCATTGTTTGCATTTCTGCTCAGCATGTTGAAGGGACAGATTGATAAAGATTTAAAGTAATGGAAATACAACACAGATTTCACTCGGGTCAGGATAGAAGATGGGATGAGGTTAAACTAGGATTTCAAAATAAAATGAGAAAGCACATACCGGAATGATCTGGCTTGGGTGATGAACTGGCGAGCTTTGTCTATTTCTTTAGCAAGTCTTTTTAGATCATCACCTTCAAATATCGGAAGAACAGGATCCTGTGTGGTAATCAATCAGAGAAAAAAGTTTTACTGCCAAACAACATTTATTTCAGCAATAAACATATTTGCACTAGCCTTTAAATAATGTCATAAGGCATTAATACTTTAGACCAGGGGTGGGGAAGTTAAATTCAAATAGGTCTGGTGAGCAAAATTTTAATCGAGCCGAGGTCAGAATCGCGGTCCGGACAGAACGGTCAACACTGCTTGTGTTTTGCCAGACACAGTACTAATGCATCAATCCCGACGCATTGCACTTTTAAAAACAATTTGTGACATTTCATTAAGTTCTATAGGTAAAGCGCAGTGTGATGCAGTTGTACCACATTGTGGCTGACTTCACTGAAAAAAAGTGCAGCGTCCATCAGATTGCCCCCTTACATCAGTTGTCCCCATCAGATTGCCCCCTTACATCAGTTGTCCCCATTAGAGTGCCCCCTTACATCAGTTGGCCCCTTCAGTGAGCTCCCTTGGATTAGGTGTCCCCTTCAGAGTGCTTCCTTACATTAGTTGGCCGGCCATCCGAGTGCCCCCTCACATTAGATGCCCCCATCAGAGAGCCCCCATACATCAGTTGTCCCCATTAGAGTGCCTCCTTATAAGGGGGCACTCTGATGGGGACAAGAAATGTAATAATATTAGTTATCCCCATCAGCATGCCCCCTTACATTGGCTATCACCACCAGAGTGCCCATTATTTTTGTATTTAATATAAGGGAGCACTCAGATGGCAGCAGCTAAAGATGGCAGACACTCTGAGGGGGACAACTAATAAGTAATTATTCCCATCAGAGTGCCCCTTTTAAAATGTTGCTGTCTGTCACATGTGGAGCTTGAGGAGCAGGTAGGCAGTGCTGGGAGTGGATGACAGGCGAGGATGAGAGAAGGAAGGAGCAGTGTTGTATTTAGGTTTTGTGCTGCCCTAGGCAAGACAAAACTTTGGCACCCCCCAATTTAAATTTGCCCCTACCCTATTCTGTTTAAGACATTTTGAGTGGCCTGTCAGTTGCTGCATACAGTGCGCACGCTGTATCCAGCTTCTGACAGGTTGCGTTAGTAGCGTAGCAGGGAATCTGGGGTCTCAGGTGGGCTCTGCGTGGTCTCAGGTGGGTTGTGAAGGATCTCTTGTGGGCTCTGCAGGGTCTCAGCCTGAGACCCTGCAGAGCACATCATAGACCCACACAGAGCCCACCTGAGACTCCACAGAGCCCACCTGAGACTACGTAGAGCACACTATAGATCTTGCAGAGCCCACCATAGATCCTGCACAGCCCCCCTGAGACCCTGTAATCCCCACCACAGACCCCTCACAGCCCGCCATAGCCCACTACAGAGCCTGCATATCCCACCTCAGACCTTGCAGTGCGCACCAGAGATCCCACCCAGCCCACCTGAGACCCCGCATAGCCTACCTGAGACCTTGCAGAGCCCACCATAGACCCCGCAGAGCACCCCCCGAGACCTTGTAGAGCCCACCACAGACCCAGCATAGCAAGTCTGAGACCTTGTGTTGACCACCACAGACCCCGAACAGCCCACCATAGCCCCCGCATTGCCCAACTGAGACCCTACACAGCCCACATGAGACCTTGCAGAGCCCACCTTAGACCCGACACAGCCCACCATAGACCCTGCATAGCCCACCTGAGACCTTGCAGAGCCCACCATAATCCCTGCATAGCCCAGCTGTGAATGTGTAGAGCCCACCACAGAGCCCGCACAGCCCACCATAGACCTTGCATAGCCCACCTGAACTTGCATATACATAAATGACTGGGAATAACAGTACATACATCTTCATCTGTGAACCCCTCAGTTAGCATTCTGTGTGCAACAAAATGGCCATCCATATGTGCATGAGGTGAATGGAATCTCCCGCCCGATAGACGTGCCAGCTTCTTTAGGAATTCATTGCCTGCTCTAAATAGAGTTCAGAAATTATATTATACTTGGTTTATAAATAAACAAATAGTATGAAGCAAATAAACTGGGTGCTCTTTTAACTTACAAATTCAAAATTGACACACATTTCTTCAATTCAGCTGCCAAAGTAGACACTAACTCTGTCAGCCTACAAAGAATGTGTTGATAATGGATCCTTCAAGGATTATATTTAATTACACATAGCAACGTTAAGAAATATTGTAAGCGTTTTTCCGTTATTATCTATGGATTACATTGATAATATGTAACACCTACATACAGTACCTTTCTGAAGTGTTAAATGACACAGTGTGCACTTTGACACCATGTGACCCAAGAAGTTGCTCAGCCATTAGAAGGTTATAGCTGCTATCCGGCTTTCCATCCGTCAGTAGGTAAACGCCTTGTACATCCAGGTAAGAAAAACTCTTCTGAAATCACACAAAAGATAAGATATTATTTAATAAGTGTTAGCAGTTAAAGTTCTACCCTATAAATTATATGGTCATTGTTTCCCTTTAAAGGCTACATGCATTGCAATACTGACCTAAAATCTGGGCAACCGAAATCTGAATCTACAACTTAACAGAATAGAACGCGAGCCAAAACAGGCTTCATTGCTTGAATTCTCCTCTATGTTTGCCCCCCTAGAGGAGAATTCAAGGAAAATGGCTCCAAGTGATTATCATACTGGTTGCTACAATATAAACTAAGGGGGTGACACCACCGTTCAAAGTGTGAAGTGCCGCAGCTTCTTGTGTCACATCCCCTCCACCTATAAATGAGACTCACCACTTTGTTTAAATGTTGTCTGTGCACTTACCCTTCTTTAAGGCACTATTCCATGCAATAAAGTCTAATGTAAAAAGAAAATGCCAACAGTACATTCCCTCCCTCACTGATTTAATTAGTTAACATAAACAGTGATTCTACTTTACTATTATACTTACAATATTTTAAAAATGCATTTAATGATTCTTGTATGAATGTATAACTGAAATTAAGATTTTACATGTTAACATATGTTTTGACCAGACATAGCGGACATTTACTAGAGCAAATTAATATTGAAAATGAATAAATTCAACTTAAAGTTGTACTTCAGATTTTAGGTTGTTTGTTGTAAACCCCTCCAATAAGTAGCAGACCCCTGCGACCCCTGCATTGCGATGGTACTGTTCTGCCTTTAAAACTATAATATCCTGTCAAGACTCCAGCACTCAGACAAATTAGGAAGATATAACAGGAGGACTTCAATGACTGGATAGTAGTGGCAACCGTCCAGTGAGAGGATTGAGTAACTACGAAACAGGCACAGATAAAGGACATCAGATTTCCATAGATCTGCCTGCCAGAAGGAGGTGGTGGTATTAATATGTAGATAACTCTAAAAAGACTTCCACGTGTAACTGTAAGTAAATTGTATTGTGACTGTAATGTTTTCCTTATATTGTAAAGCGCTGTGCAAACTATTGGCGCTATATAAATCCTGTATTATAATAATAATAACTGTGAATAGAATATATTACCTGTGCCAACCAGTCAGAGGATGGTTTTTATTCTGTTAAAATTTACTTCCGAGCTAGTAGGAACATCTGGTCTACACTTTTACCTCTTAACAGTAGTCATTATTGTTCCCTGTTATGTGTAATTTGGTTAGGCGTTGCTCATGAGATTTTTTTAATATAATTTGGTATTAAAGGGAACTTATGCTGAGAAAAATTCAGACACTGCTAGTAGTGACATTTTCTAAAAAATGCTAATACCTGGCTGTCAAGCTGATCTTCTGACTTCAGTAGTCAGGCATGGCAGCCAGCTGAGCCAGACAACTAATACTTTAGACAGAGACATAAACAATGGCAACCTAGATATTTCTGTAATGACAGTAACAATAAACCTATAGCTGGCCATACATTTCTGCTGATCGTTCTGGGGCTGAACGAAACAAAAGCGTATAGCAAGCTTTAGAATGATTTCTCTGAAAGTTTTCTCTAAGGCAGTGGTTCTCAACCTGTGGGTCGTGACCCAAAAGTGGGTCACAACCCACAGTTGAGGGGGTCCCTACATGCCTTGTGCTGCTCTAGGTAAGAGGCTCCTCAGCCTCCTCCTAGCGCAGCAGTGTCAGTTCTCCTAGATAGCGCTGCAGCAGCAGCGGCCGGAGAGGATCAGAGAGAGGGGAGCAGGCAGGAGAGAGGGGAGGCGAGTGCTTGATCACCACAGATCCCGCACTGGGCACCAGAGAGCCTACACTGGGCACCACAGGGGCCGCACTGGATGCCACCAGAGAGTCCCACTAGCCACCTGAAAGCCTGCATAGCCTCCTGAGAGCCCACACAGATACTAGTATTGGTGCATCCCTAAATTTTACGGTTGGGGGTCACCACAACTTGGCAAATGTTACCAAGGGGTCCCGGCCCTAGAAAGGTTGAGAACCACTGCTCTAAGGGTACTAAGAGACAAAGTTCTCATCTAGCCTAATGGTTCCCCAGCTGCAAGTCATCCATGACTGTGTTGTGGATCTTATAGCCAGGGTTGTGAGGTAGCTGCCTTGGGCTCTACTAATGGGTATGAATATGAGTGAGCAAGCCTATTTAATGTGAGCAACCTAAGAAAAGCTTATTTTAGCCTAAATGACTGATGAAGGAAAACAGATGACACTGTTAAAATATATTTATATATTTTTAACAGCTCTTTTCCATTCTTATTTTATTGATATTCTTTTTTACATAAGGTAACCTGTATTTTAGACTAACTGGTCCTATATGAGTTACTATTGGAAGTTAACAGAAAAAAAAGTGCTTCATATTTTACATATGAATAACAGAATAGAATAAACTTTGCTAATGTTTTTCAAGCCCAACTTCATCCTCAGCATATTTGTTTAGATTTGGATAGAGAGGGGAAGACCTAATATTTATATCAGGTCTGTCTGTGACCCTATTTGGGAAATTTTACTCCATGTGATGCCTATGCGTGAAATAAGGAGTGCAGTAGTCACTAGGAAGGAAAACACGGACAGCAATCAAAAAATGTCTGAAGATCTAACTCATCCTACCAAAATGTATCCCGACAGAAAGTGATAGAAAATCTTTCCAGTAGGACAAAAAGAGCAATAAAAAATATTGGCAGTATTTGGACTTAAAGCAATAATAGCAAAAGAAAATGCAATAAAATCTATACTATACCAACAATAGTAGTGGGTAATGCAAAGCTTAAAATGTAGTTCATAGTCCAGTTACCTCCAGAGCATGGACAATACAGGAGTCCCCACGAGGCTGCAGCCTGGACAACCATTGTACAGCATCCTGGCATGCTTCATCAGTGGCCTCAACCAAACACTCCTGCCATGGTTCAATGTTCTCTGCAAAGCTGATCATATTAACCCTGTACATGAGACAGATCACAGAACACAGTGAATAGACATGTCTCTAATTTTTTAGGTTACTGCTTCTAAAGGTCTGGTAAATGTACCACTAGGGTTATCTATTTTCAATATGTAGGGTATTAATAAAAGCTCAGGCTCCAGATTCATTATCTAGAACAGAAGCCTCTATTTCTATGGGCTCCAATCCATAGATACTGGCGATAAAAGAGGATGACTTACAGTAAGTGGTCATGTACATAAACTGTTCAGTTAAAGCAGCAAATGGGTGCTACACTTGAGAAATATCACTATGAAGTTCTTGAATGTCAGTTTCCCAGCTCCTTCCTAGAAATGTTGTCAACATTCCCTATTTCATGGCAGGCACAAAAAAGTTGTGCAAGCAAGTCCCTACAATAGGTGTGAGGGACAAAAAGAAGGTGAGAACCCCTAGTTCATAAAAGTGTTTCAGTGTGACATATGGTCTTTGGTTTGTCCAAAATAAACATGGAACGGAACATGTTTAGATCTACCCATCGATACATCCAATTTACATGTCTAAATTTGTGATCATGATCAAGTCATCGTTAAAAAAAAAAGTAGAAAGGGAAATTTATGCTTGACACAAGAATGTGCTTGTGATTCATACATGTAAGATCCTGACTAAAGTAGACCCATCCCAGAGATGGAAGAGTCATGATTGCCCATAGCAACCAATAAGCTCGGATTATTTAGAGCAGGGTAGAAGAGGAAAGGAAGGAGCTGACTGGCTGTTATGGACATTATTTCAGATTTTTACATCAGCCCTGCTATTTGGTCAGACAAGACTAGATGTCCACAATTGGACAGTATCTTGCAAACACCTTCAGGTTAGGAAGACAGATGAAAAGGTCATTATCTAACAGCTGAAGTTAGAAGGTATAATATTTACAACTAGTAAACAGAGAGCAGAATTATGGCTTTTTACACATAATCACAATAACTTTCCACATACCATATGTTTCTAGCCCTTAGTTGTTCCCACAGCAGTGAAATCAACCCCTTCTGCAACTCCTCCAGAAAGGGAGCCATGGAGCTGGATGAATCAATTATTATACACACTTTACTTTCCAGTACCACACCAAAAAGCTGGCGACTGCCTGCAACATACAGCATAGATTAAAAGTCCAGTTCAACAGGCCAAGCAATCTCAGGCAGGATTAAATGTGTCAATAAGTAAAGGAAAATCATGTATACTGGTATCAGAAAAAACATACTTATGCGGGAGCTTTATTAGTACAAAAACATATTTATTCCTAAGATTATTAACAACATACAGAACAAAGCATAGTGGGACTGCTATTTGTTAACAATAACAATCATTGAGCAAAATTTTAAAGTAGTTTTTGAAGAGAGTAGAGCAAGAGGTACCGTATATACTCGAGTATAAGCCGTCCCGAATATAAGCCGAGGGTGGGAAATGAGGCAGCTAATGGTAGATAGATACCAATAAAATTACATTAATATTTATTTAAAAGAAAAATAACCTAGCTCTGTAAGTGGAAAAGGGGGTACAGGGCTACATACAGATCATTTAATACATTCATGTTAGTATCATTGTAAATGTATTGTTGCAGGCACTCTATATGTACATGTACTATATACTACATATAGAGTGCACTGAACAATAGATTTACAATTATCCTCTGCTAATATGAATGGGTTAAATGATCCGTAGTACATGATATGTAGCCCTGTACTATGGATCATTTAACCCATTCATGTTAGCAGAGGATCATTGTAAATGTATTGTTGCAGGCACTCTATATGTACATGTACTATATACTACATATAGAGTGCACTGAACAATAGATTTACAATTATCCTCTGCTAATATGAATGGGTTAAATGATCCGTAGTACATGATATGTAGCCCTGTACTATGGATCATTTAACCCATTCATGTTAGCAGAGGATCATTGTAAATGTATTGTTGCAGGCACTCTATATGTACATGTACTATATACTACATATAGAGTGCACTGAACAATAGATTTACAATTATCCTCTGCTAATATGAATGGGTTAAATGATCCGTAGTACATGATATGTAGCCCTGTACTATGGATCATTTAACCCATTCATGTTAGCAGAGGATCATTGTAAATGTATTGTTGCAGGCACTCTATATGTACATGTACTATATACTACATATAGAGTGCACTGAACAATAGATTTACAATTATCCTCTGCTAATATGAATGGGTTAAATGATCCGTAGTACATGATATGTAGCCCTGTACTATGGATCATTTAACCCATTCATGTTAGCAGAGGATCATTGTAAATGTATTGTTGCAGGCACTCTATATGTACATGTACTATATACTACATATAGAGTGCACTGAACAATAGATTTACAATTATCCTCTGCTAATATGAATGGGTTAAATGATCCGTAGTACATGATATGTAGCCCTGTACTATGGATCATTTAACCCATTCATATTAGCAGAGGATAATTGTAAATCTATTGTTCAGTGCACTCTATATGTAGTATATAGTACATGTACATATAGAGTGCCTGCAACAATACATTTACAATGATACTAACATGAATGTATTAAATGATCTGTATGTAGCCCTGTACCCCCTTTTCCACTTACAGAGCTAGGTTATTTTTCTTTTAAATAAATATTAATGTAATTTTATTGGTATCTATCTACCATTAGCTGCCTCATTTCCCACCCTCGGCTTATATTCGGGCAGGCTTATACTCGAGTATATACGGTAGTTGTAGAACAATTCTTTTTTCTATGCTTCTGTCCCCATTGGAGAGTATATCCCCCCACTACCTGTCCAATGACTTTGGTCAGGGAAAATGGACATACTCCAAATAGGGACACATTAAAATTAGGAGTTCTAAAGGGTAAGTGTAACTGTGTTTTCAGTGAGCACATATTTTAAGTTGTCATGGAAGTGTTTACCTTAAAGAACAACTGTAACTGTATAGTTGTCCTATAATAAGTACCCTCCACCACAATGAATGCTGCTCCTTATGTGAAATACCTTCAGCCCCAATCGAGCAATCTTCACGGTGCACTCCTGCTCAAAACTACACGGATTGTCTCCTAAAAATAGCTGGTTTGTAAGGCACATGTGTGCCATGGCCCCATTCAATTCTTCAGGAAAGCTGTACTCCAACCGCTTAAGGCTGCTATGAGTATCGTTTCCCTATAGGAATGGATGGGGTTGCACCACGATTGTGCAGTATGAGCAGTGTATGAACCAAGAAGAAGGGCTGCACAGTGAAGATCACTGAATCGGGGCTAAAGGTAAGTATATCACCTACAGGGATTCACTCAGGGCGATGTGGGGAACATAGGCAAACTGTACAAAGGCACAGTTGACCTGTAAAAACATTTTTTGTACAAGAGTTGAGGGATAGAACCTCTGTCATTTCTTTTTGCCATAATAGAAAATAATTAGTATTTAGTGGTGTTATTAAATCTTAAAATGTTAAATCTTAGGATGGCAAAAAGCCTGACAAGGATTTTAATCATTTACTACTAAAAAGGTTTTCACTATACTGAAATCATCTGCTTAAAATTAAATTTAAAAAAAAAGAAATCACCAGATAGAAGCCATTGCAGTCGCCGAATATAGCGTTTCAAAACCTTCTCCAGTTGCTCAATATATTCCTCTAGCTCCCTGGGCTGAAATTGAAGGTGTTTCACCACTCCCTGTAAATGACAACAAGCAGGAGCCTTTCAAATTCAGGTAAATTGTACATATGCAAATATTATTTTTAGTCACCTACAATATAAATAATATATCACAATGTTCTAGAAGAAAAAAAATATACTTACATTGACTTCCACACTTGGGAAAATAGTGCAGTATTTTGCAGAAACTTGTTTATGTAATGCCGGCACCAACTTTTTCTGGTGTGCGCAGTCTGGACCAGACAGCAACTTGGTGAGCTCTAACTTTAGTTTCTTCACACCATACTTTTTCAGCCACTTTAAGGAAACAACATACAATAACAATCCATCAATATTAAAGAGAATTTTGACAATATAATATACATTTAACTACAGAATATCTTCAGTGACCACTACCAATTACATTCAAGCCTAAGGTAACAATCTTAAAGCTATTATACTGTATGTGGACTCATACGCAGCTTTCCTGAGAAGTATGTGCATCACTATTCAAGACTGGCCACAGGCAGAGAGATGTCTCACTGAGAACTGCTAGCAGCTAGACATCTTCCCATCTTTAGTGCTATGTACCCAACAACATGATCTCCCTGCTTTAGTTGATGAATGAATGTCACACGTGTAGTGACAGATTCATTACCTTGTCCCCATAGGAAATAGCAATTGCTACCTGATTACACAAAGAATTTCCAACAGGTTGGATAACAAGTCACTTCTAACACTCACAAACAGCGATTATCTCATTGATTCGGGAAGACAAATGTAAATGGCATATACAGTACAGGTTAAAAGGTTTGATGCTTTCCTTCCATAGCAAGGACATGTGTAGGATTTGTGTCTGCAGGCTTTTTTTCAACAGCTGGAAAAGCTCTCCAAGCTCAAGTGCTTGCTGTCACTTGGATGTGAATATCTACATGGCTTAACTACCACAAGAGCTGCACAAAGCACTTAAATCAAATACAAATATTGGACTGTACATTGTGAAGGTTATCACTACTGTATATAGTAGTAAAGGATGTTACTTGTCTACAATATGGCAGTGTCTGGGTTAACTCTTGTGGGATATTGACCATTGCTTGCTTTCTCCAAGCTCTGGAACATCTGTGCACCAAATAATTTATTTTATTTGATAGAACATATGTTATTGTCTGAGCTGGGGAGACCTGTGTGATGGGTCATGGCAGTGTGTAGTTTTAGCAATTATGTGATTGGTTTATCACCATTTGCTGCTGGTGGAAAGAGAACTGTCCATGTCCATCCGTCATCTGAATGTTTACAGTGCCGTCTGGGATAATTGCCAGTTGTGTCTACTCCATAGGCACTTGTCCTGGACAGCACTGATTAGCAGGAAAGAAAAAAAAAAAGCTATGGGAAACAACTACGGAAAAAACTTGATTCCTCTACTAAAGAAATTTACATCCAGTTGTGAGACAATTGTAAATTCTATAGAGAACTGACAGGCCAACATTTCTTCTTTGTCTGATTAGGAACCTACCTTGAAATTATAATTTCCAACAGAGATAATTGTATTAATTGTGAATTCTAGAGAGAACCGACAGGCCAACAATCCTTCTTTGTCTGACAGGGAACCTACCTTGAAACTATGATATCCAACAGAGATCATTGTATTCATTGTGAGAGAACTGACAGGCCATTAATCCTTCTTTGTGTGATAAGGAACTACCTTGAAACTATAATATCCAACAGTGATAATTGTATTTGGATATGTTACTTATATAGAATGTATTAAACAGCTAAAGCTTTATAAAATGAAGAAACTTGACAATCTTTACCCCTAAATTGCCCACTGCTCTGTACAGTTAGGCGGGAAGACAGTTATATTATTGTATCCTCATTTTTAAAGGTATTTTCTCCCCAAGTCCCACCTTGAACCTCCCAGTTTTTAGGGTGTAGTAGGGGTATCCCCTGTCCTGGGAACTGTGTCACCTTTAGAACCACTTGGAATGTTAATAAATGTGAACCTTAGAGATCACACTTCTACATTCTGTTGCAAAGCATTACCGCATGTGTGTTAATATGCGGTATTTCACACATTGCATTGCGTTAAGGCAGACATTTCATTAAAGCGGAACTCCAAGCAAATAGGAAAGGTAAAAATAATACAGCTCTGTAATTAATAATACATTATTTATTTTTTTATGAAAGTAGCGTACGTACAAAAATTTTACCTGGCATTAGCCTTTTGCAGTCTACTCAACAGTCTGTATACAAGAGCCCAGAGATGGGAGAAGTAGCAGCACAATGAACCAATTGCATGTGTTGCAGTACAAGGAGCATGCTAATAGGGGGAGCAAACAGAGTGACAGACAGATGAGCTCATCAGTGCACTGCTTCTCCTTTTACTGTCCAGTCACAGGGTGGGAGTTGGCAAGGGGACCTGTAAATGATAAGTGAAACTGCAGCAGAGATCAGGTCCGCTCCCCTACTAGACATGGTTGTGTTGTGGGGCAGACCTGTGTAAGTCTCAAGATTGCATAGACAGAAATACAAATTCTTTTGACAGTTAAATCATATATATTTGTATATTTAGTTTTTTGCCTGGAGTAAGCTTTGTGAATAAACTGCCAATGCATGGCAATGGGAAAAAAAGCATCCCTGCAGCACCCAGAACGGGTTCTGTGTGTGTTATAGTGCACTGTAGCCCAGGTGTGTTGCCACCTACTGTAGCTGTGCATTGGGGTGCCATTAAGGAACTGTGATTTTGGACATCAGACATGAATATTGCTTTTTTAGGGCACATTCACACTAGCCTGCACATGTCAAGGCTAAATGTAATGTGCAGGCTAGTGTGCTGAAAGAGGTCCAGTGAGGGGCGGTGTGATGCGCTGTTTTAGCGCATCACACTGTTTTTCTTTTTTTAACTTTATTATATATGCAAAGCGTACACTCCATTCAGGTCACTGCAGTGCAGCGCGTGGCGCAGTGGTGCACTGAGAAAAAAGGTTGCATGTCTGTATTTTTCTGCACCACACATAACACCTGCATTGTGGTGTGAATGGGACACATAGAAAACAATTGTGTTCTATGTGCCCTAGCAGTGACTCACATTGATCACCACTATTGGTGTGAACAAGACCTTAGTATTCTTATTACTCTGTTGGCAAATACAGATGGATTTGAAAAAAAAAAAATCTGGCTTAAAGGTTTAACGCTCTAATGTTTTCTGTGTTGTTTCTCCAGATTCTGCTTTTGTGGTGTCTGAACCTTTCAGGGTAAGAAAGTTCACGTTTATTGTCTCTTTAAATCCCAGATTTGTAATTCCGCTTTAAGAAAAGTTTTGAAATAATTTACGTCTTACTGTTTTGGATGAACAGCATTCTTCATCTTTCGGTAGTGCAATGAAGGGAATGCATTTCCTCACGGTTTTGGTTGTTGGATAGTCTTTGTACACCACCCCTGTGGGATAAAGGCAGAATGGGGTCCATGTTAAAATTAAATTCCTGCTTAAACTTTTTTTTCATGGTCAGGATTGTATTACTTTGTGTAAAGTCCTGACTGGGTTGTCAATTAAAAGTCTTTGTACAGAATGTCTCATTTGAAAGACCGTGAAAATAGAGCTGGCCATACGCTGTAAGAATTTTATTAAAACGTTTGTTCAAAATTCATTTGTCAGAAAATTTGATCTTGTCATCATTCAGTTAACCAGTTTTGTTTGAAAGCCCTTCGAAACTTTGCCGAGACCTGCTACTGGAATGGAATCCCAGACATATTAAACAGGTTTCTTTTGTGCCTAGTACATGCGCATTACAATACGTAAGATTTTTCATGAAAGGAAATAACATTCATAGTTAAAATTTCATTCCTTGAGATGAGAAACAAGAACATTTTTTCCATCCTGTTCCTTCAATTGTCCTAATCACTATGGTCGAAAATGACCGTTGGTTAGACCCCCACTAGCAATTAGAACATTTAATGAACGTTCCAAAAAACTAAAGTTTTCAAACTAAGCTCTACTGGTGCATAGACGTTCACACCTATGCGTCGGGGTTTTAAGGCTTTTTTCAGGCTCTTGTTTTTGAGCATTTTACATGCGTTGTCATGTGTTTGTCGAGCATTTCAACATTTTCAAAGCGATTTTTTCAGGTGTTTTTAGCTTCTCATCAATTTTGTTCCCCAGTGTTTTTTGCAGAGAGGAGGACTGGTTCCTGTATGTAAAACGTGCAACAAAATGGTTCAAGAATGCTAGGAAACATCTGTGTTGCACATTTACAGGTGTTCCCATTGAAGTCTATGGGGCCATAAACACAGAAATCTACAGAAAAGTCTTGTGTACTTTTTCCAGAGATAGGTGTTTTGCTACATGTAAATCCTGTTTGAGCTTTGTAGTGCTTGGCCCTTTGAGCTACAAAACACCTAGGTGTGAACAGAGATTAAAGGTCGTGACACACTGCACGCGAAGCCGTGCAGAGCGAAGCAAAGCTATCCGGCACGGAGCTTTGCGTGCAGTGTGTGAGCTGAGTGCAGTCAGATGATTGACAGCACCTTCAGCCAATCGGCTCGTCTGTAACAATGTTTATACGCGTGAGCCGATTGGCTGAAGTTGAAATTGTTCATCCCGGCACGCTCAGCTCCGCGAGCTCTCGCAAGCTGAGGTGCCGAGCAGAAAATTATATGGCACACTGCTCGCAAAGGCAGTGTGCCCCCGCTCCGCGCTGCTTCGCGTGCAGTGTGTCACGGCCTTTAGACCTGTGACCAAAACAGACTAAGCTGAATCTCTCTTTCCATTTAAATACAAACAGTATATGTATATTGTTCTGATAGAATACATGACACGTATATGTATAGTGTATAATTCTGTGCAGCCAATGAACACAACTGCCACACTGCACAGCCAGGTGAGTGAATACAATTGTTCTCTAGTTCAGCAATGCAGCTACCTTTGTCCAATTAGTAGGGGATGTTAATCACCCTGGCTGTGCAGTGTGGCAATTATACAAGTCACAGGGCTGACTGTAAAGTATTACAAATCCTTTGGCTGGTAAAATAGTAAATGTATTATTTAGCTGATTGTCTGTAGTTCATCTTTAAAGAAGAACGCTCGTTTTGGTCTAATGGAAGGAATAAAGAAGGTATACTTACCTAATTCTCAGTCCTGTTACAGTAAGTGCTCCCCTCTCTCCCACTCCAGTCCGGCTGTGGTATGTCCCTCGGCATCCTTACATTTAATGCAAGTGAATAGACGTGGATTAGATGTTATGACGTCAGTGGGGCTTAGACTGCTGCAGTCCAGGGAACAAGAGGCTGTGGGGACTGGTATAGCAGCCAGGTGGGACAGAGGATCAGGTGAGTATATTTGTTTTATTCGAGCCACTAGCACTTAACCCTTTTTAAAGTGAACATGGGTTGTACCTACACAGGGCAAAAGCAACAGGTTAATTTTATTGTCCCCCCTTTCCCAGATGCACATAGTTACCTATACTTCACTCCAGGGACGTGCGGTCAGGGGAGGCAGGTGAGGCAAAGCCTCACCTAGTATTATGAAGGAAAAAGCTTTTTCTCCATTCAGATTGGCTTGTTACAGGTTACACAGCAGGGAAATCCTCCCCGCTGTGTAACCTGTCATGGACGGAGTGCTGCCTGTTACAATGGCTTAAAGGTTTAACGCTCTAATGTTTTCTGTGTTGTTTCTCCAGATTCTGCTTTTGTGGTGTCTGAACCTTTCAGGGTAAGAAAGTTCACGTTTATTGTCTCTTTAAATCCCAGATTTGTAATTCCGCTTTAAGAAAAGTTTTGAAATAATTTACGTCTTACTGTTTTGGATGAACAGCATTCTTCATCTTTCGGTAGTGCAATGAAGGGAATGCATTTCCTCACGGTTTTGGTTGTTGGATAGTCTTTGTACACCACCCCTGTGGGATAAAGGCAGAATGGGGTCCATGTTAAAATTAAATTCCTGCTTAAACTTTTTTTTCATGGTCAGGATTGTATTACTTTGTGTAAAGTCCTGACTGGGTTGTCAATTAAAAGTCTTTGTACAGAATGTCTCATTTGAAAGACCGTGAAAATAGAGCTGGCCATACGCTGTAAGAATTTTATTAAAACGTTTGTTCAAAATTCATTTGTCAGAAAATTTGATCTTGTCATCATTCAGTTAACCAGTTTTGTTTGAAAGCCCTTCGAAACTTTGCCGAGACCTGCTACTGGAATGGAATCCCAGACATATTAAACAGGTTTCTTTTGTGCCTAGTACATGCGCATTACAATACGTAAGATTTTTCATGAAAGGAAATAACATTCATAGTTAAAATTTCATTCCTTGAGATGAGAAACAAGAACATTTTTTCCATCCTGTTCCTTCAATTGTCCTAATCACTATGGTCGAAAATGACCGTTGGTTAGACCCCCACTAGCAATTAGAACATTTAATGAACGTTCCAAAAAACTAAAGTTTTCAAACTAAGCTCTACTGGTGCATAGACGTTCACACCTATGCGTCGGGGTTTTAAGGCTTTTTTCAGGCTCTTGTTTTTGAGCATTTTACATGCGTTGTCATGTGTTTGTCGAGCATTTCAACATTTTCAAAGCGATTTTTTCAGGTGTTTTTAGCTTCTCATCAATTTTGTTCCCCAGTGTTTTTTGCAGAGAGGAGGACTGGTTCCTGTATGTAAAACGTGCAACAAAATGGTTCAAGAATGCTAGGAAACATCTGTGTTGCACATTTACAGGTGTTCCCATTGAAGTCTATGGGGCCATAAACACAGAAATCTACAGAAAAGTCTTGTGTACTTTTTCCAGAGATAGGTGTTTTGCTACATGTAAATCCTGTTTGAGCTTTGTAGTGCTTGGCCCTTTGAGCTACAAAACACCTAGGTGTGAACAGAGATTAAAGGTCGTGACACACTGCACGCGAAGCCGTGCAGAGCGAAGCAAAGCTATCCGGCACGGAGCTTTGCGTGCAGTGTGTGAGCTGAGTGCAGTCAGATGATTGACAGCACCTTCAGCCAATCGGCTCGTCTGTAACAATGTTTATACGCGTGAGCCGATTGGCTGAAGTTGAAATTGTTCATCCCGGCACGCTCAGCTCCGCGAGCTCTCGCAAGCTGAGGTGCCGAGCAGAAAATTATATGGCACACTGCTCGCAAAGGCAGTGTGCCCCCGCTCCGCGCTGCTTCGCGTGCAGTGTGTCACGGCCTTTAGACCTGTGACCAAAACAGACTAAGCTGAATCTCTCTTTCCATTTAAATACAAACAGTATATGTATATTGTTCTGATAGAATACATGACACGTATATGTATAGTGTATAATTCTGTGCAGCCAATGAACACAACTGCCACACTGCACAGCCAGGTGAGTGAATACAATTGTTCTCTAGTTCAGCAATGCAGCTACCTTTGTCCAATTAGTAGGGGATGTTAATCACCCTGGCTGTGCAGTGTGGCAATTATACAAGTCACAGGGCTGACTGTAAAGTATTACAAATCCTTTGGCTGGTAAAATAGTAAATGTATTATTTAGCTGATTGTCTGTAGTTCATCTTTAAAGAAGAACGCTCGTTTTGGTCTAATGGAAGGAATAAAGAAGGTATACTTACCTAATTCTCAGTCCTGTTACAGTAAGTGCTCCCCTCTCTCCCACTCCAGTCCGGCTGTGGTATGTCCCTCGGCATCCTTACATTTAATGCAAGTGAATAGACGTGGATTAGATGTTATGACGTCAGTGGGGCTTAGACTGCTGCAGTCCAGGGAACAAGAGGCTGTGGGGACTGGTATAGCAGCCAGGTGGGACAGAGGATCAGGTGAGTATATTTGTTTTATTCGAGCCACTAGCACTTAACCCTTTTTAAAGTGAACATGGGTTGTACCTACACAGGGCAAAAGCAACAGGTTAATTTTATTGTCCCCCCTTTCCCAGATGCACATAGTTACCTATACTTCACTCCAGGGACGTGCGGTCAGGGGAGGCAGGTGAGGCAAAGCCTCACCTAGTATTATGAAGGAAAAAGCTTTTTCTCCATTCAGATTGGCTTGTTACAGGTTACACAGCAGGGAAATCCTCCCCGCTGTGTAACCTGTCATGGACGGAGTGCTGCCTGTTACACTAGTTTGGGGACCGGGTTGGGGGTGGAGTGTCGACGGACAGGGGCGGAGTTTTGGTGGGCCAGGGGCGGGCTTT